ACCTGGATATCTTTGGATATTCTAATCATCCAAGAGGGTGTAGGTATTCCAATTGTTCAAGTGGAGCATTCCATGCAGTCGATCATAGCTTGGCGCGTCCCTGGGCCTTTTTCAGGATTGGCTCCATCTTCGTCGCTTTCATCATGTTGCCCTTGATCTTGAGCTTGCCGCCGAGGAAGAGCCGTTGGGCGTTTGCCTTGCCGCTGACAAGAGAGCCGAAATCCGCATCGGAGAGGATAAGAGTGACTATTAATTAGCCATCCGTCTTGAGTAGGACAAACATTCTATAAAAGAGAGATTACCATCTGCTTTCCCACCCTCCGGGGCTGCACCCTTGGAAACCACGCCTTTATCCTTGAGATCGAGGTACCAGCTTTCCTGCTTTCCGTCGGCGTTGGTCAGGGTGAAAGCCACGACAGCCTTGGCTTTGTTGACGGTGTCCTTGCGCTCGGCTTCGTCGGCCTGCAGGGTGGAGTTGATCACGTCGAAGGCGGCGGAGGAGGGGAAAGCGTCTGAAGGGATTTAGTTTTCTTTTCTTCTCTTTCTATTTTTAAGAAATCGAACGTACCATCCTTGAGAGACATCTTGACTGTGGGTTATTGTTGGAAAGGAGTTGAGATGGGAATGAATGGTCTGACGTAGCACGGATTAACTAGTTGGGCGGTCAAGCTAGTAGGAGCTGGGGTAAACTAACTACTCTGTACTGGCAACCTCGATTATATACCTTGAATCAAGAATCCTGCGTAAGGTGAGGGGAGAATAAGAAGACGCTGATCACTAGAAGGGACGATTCCGAGGTACAGGCCACACACAAGGTGTGTGTGTGTGTGTCTTTTGGTGAGACGTGATGGGCGCCATATGACCGTCATGTGAAGTGAGCCCGTGCCGAGGCCCCGAGTTGGTACCTTTAGACAGTGATAGTTACTAGGAAAGAAAATAATAATATTTTAAGAGTCTATGAAGAATATGTTCTATCCAGTCAATTTAATCAATACCCAATAAGTCGAGATTACCCTTTTATTTCAGAGGATATAAGTTGTCAAGACAGAAACCCAGGCTCTGCTTGCTCAACAGAAAACCGCCAAGTTCAATAGACAATATTTATACAGTATAAGCTATACTTACAAGTTACTACTACATATGGCGTCATGTGACAGTTCTTCATATGATCGTTCCTGCCATCCTGGTAATCGACAGTTTCCCAAAAGGGCGACTGTAGGGCTAAATGCAACTTGCCCTATATCTCTTGGCATGTTTGTTTGTATTGCGCGTCTCTATTAGAAGTCTCCAGAGTGTATGACGGAGTATGAGATTCTACTATCTGGAGTATATGAAATCACTGATAGAAGGAATTTCTTATCTCCACTCTTCAGTGTGTGGTATAATAGAGTGTAACTATAAGCACCTAGGTATACAGAAAGGTGATGCGACACGACATTCACTAGACTCACCAGTACTGGAGATAGTATTGATATACTAATCTTCTATAATAGTATATGAAGTATAGATGGATATGAGTTACTTCGGAATTAATATCGAAGAGATGATAGAGTAAAAGCGTACGCATCACATTGTGACGACGCCAGATTGGAAATCCGTGGATGCCTTGGATTCCAGGCGCCAACAATTCCAACGTGACCGACCGAGTCTGGTGACTGGTCCGGTTGATTCGTTCGCCTCGACAAATTCTCCCTCAAAGAAAGGCCGGATCTGAGCACGATTTCAGCCTGGAAACAGGGGATCTTCACGAATCCTTTGAAAGGTGATTTCCCATTGTTATCTGGGGCTTCTAGGCTTCGCTTTGAGATCGTGGACGGTGTAAGAACTGTCGTCTCCGTTGCCACCGAGTCCCCCCTGTGGTCTGTCGTGACGACTCGCGACAGACCCAAAGAGGCACCAAGCCAGCATCATTCTTCCTTATTCTTCCCCTCCCCCGCAGAGACATTCATCCGTCTTGATACGCTGTTTCCTCCTTCTCCTCCTCCCGATCTACCCAAAGACTGCCATTACTAAAACGCTCAGGCTCAGACTTTCTGCTTCTTGCCCGCCCAGATATCGCCGTGGG